TCTTTTCAATTATTTGTTTTTTTTTTTTTTTTTTTTTTTTTCCCCACTCTGTTTTCTCAGTAATGTTCATATTGGGTATTTTCTGTTGATCTGTCTTGAAGTTCATTGATTCTTTTCTTTCTCATCTTCATTCTTCTATTGATCCCATCCAGTAAATTTTTATTTGTTTCTGTATTTTTCAGTTACATAATTTTCATTCTATTTCTTTGCTGAAATACCCAATTTTTTTCCAATTTTCTTTTTAACAGCCTTCATAATAAATGGTTCGCTGAAGCATTTCTCTGATGGCTCCTTTTAAATTTTGGCAGATAATTCCAACGTCTGAGTCATCTCAGTGTTGACATGTTAATTGTCTTTTCTCATTCTCGTTGAAATGTTTCTAGCTCTTGGTATGATGAGTGATTTTTGCTAGAATGTTGGACATTTGGGGCATTACTTTGGATCATATTTAATCTTCTTGTAGCAGAGTCACCCTGGTAGCATACAGCTCCTGTCCTACTTTTGTGGTTTGTGGTTCTAGAAGCCTGACACACAAGGTCATATATCATGTGGTTCTATTTAAATGAGATATCCAAAATAGGTAAATCCTTAAAGACAGAAAGCAGATCAGTGGTTGTCAGGGCATGAAGGAGTGGAGAATGGAGACTACTTAATGGGAGTGGTATTCTGGTGTAATGAAAATGTTTTGGATGTAGGTAGAGGTGATAGTTGTCCAACATTGTGAATATACTAAGTGCCACTGAATTGCATACTTTAAAATGGTTAATTTTATGTTATGTGGTTTTCACCTCAATGAAAAGAAAAGGAAAGAAAACTCAAGAAGTTCTATAGTCAGGAAGCTGCCTTCTTTCCATCTTTCAGAGTTTTAAAATTTTTTATCTGTTTTAGTATGTCCAGGGTTTTTAGTTACATTTAACTGGTGGTATAGCAAGAGATAAGTCTTGTCTTTAGAACAGTATGTTAGACGTACCGAAGTAACTTTTTAAAAAGAGTAAAGCATGGCCGGCCCGGTGGTGCACTGCTACAGTGTGCCGCTTGGGAAGCGTGGTGGCGCACCCGCCGAGGGTTCGGATCCCACATACAGACCGGCCGCTCACTGGCTGAGCAAGGTGCGGGGGCAACACTGAAGGTTGCGATCCCGTTACCGGTCCCGGTCCGGTACGGGCGCGACACTGAGGGTTGCGATCTGTTGCTGGTCACGAAAAAAGACAAAAAAAAAAAAAAAGAGTAAAGCTTGGTCTCCTTCCTAGACCAATTTAATCAGAATGGGAGAGGGGTGAGGGAGGTGGATTGCATCAGTATAAAAAATATCTGCAAGTGATTTGAATGCAGACAATTTTGAGAAGCACTGTTTGAAGCACATACTTCCTATCGTTGATGAGTTTTGCAAACAGCCATTTGACCCAGTTCTGGTAAATAAGATGTGAAGGGAAGCTCTTTGTAAGGTAACTTTACAAGGAAGGTTGTTCTTCTGAACACTGTCATGTATGGGTATGAATCTTGGAATTGCTGTGGCCATATTGCTAAAGGTGCACAAATACAGATAATACTTGGAATGCAGATGAGAGAAACAGAAAGAAACCTGATCCTTGGTTATGTCTCTCATCTGCTGAGTTAGCTGTCTCTGGAATCTATTGTACCTCTGTACTTTCCATTATATATAAAGAATATGTCCTTATTATTTCAGCTCTGAGTTTGGATTATGACTTGTAGTTGGAAGCTTCCAAACTGCTATAGCTAATGAGAAGAAAAATTAGTGGTAAAAATACTTATTACCATGTTTTTCTAATACATATCTTTTATAAGTAATATGGCAATGAACATATTGGTAAGTATAGTTATTTCCCCCAATATTGGCTTTTGTTTGGTACTCATGTTAGGATGCCGGAAATAGTTGATACTGTTATGCTCTTACTTAATATCTCCAAATTGCTTTCCTAACAGGTTATGTCTATCTACAATGTTATCAGCAATAAGTATTTTTTTATCTTAATCATTGGATTTTATTTTTTGGATTATTGATTGCTCATGGCATGTCATAATTTCCCATTTTTATTTCTTTATTACTGAACGTGTTGATTCTCTGTTTTTACTCATTAGTTATATTTGTTTGGGGGGTAAT